TACTCTCTCTCTCTCTCTCTCTCTCTCTCTCTCTCTCTCAGGCCAGTGGGTGTGTTTTTTTTTGTGGGGGCAGGGGGGCAGGCATTGGGTGGGGGTGGGGGTGCGGGTGGGTTAGCTTGGATGGAATGGAGGTTCGAACCCTCTACCCCCCCCCACCCCCCCAACAGCTCCCCATAAATTTCAAAATTGTTTTCCATGCAAGTTCCACTCCAGATTTGTGTTTATAACACAGGGACTTGGACAAAACACAAAGGCAAATATCAGCTCAACTTCCCATGTTTTACCTTGAAGTTTAGGCATCCAGCTTCTGTGGTTCAATAATTTATAGTTCATTAAATGTCCATATATCTGTGTGTGTTTGTAATCAAGCTCTTCCATTCATATCCATGGTGGAATCGTCTTATTCTCTTTTTTGTTTTATTGGCTAGACTATAAATATTACGGTGGTAATATTTGCAAAGTGGAATTTTCCCAAGTGGAGATGTGCACTATCTGTGGTGTGTATATTCCTTTGGAACAATTTGATATATATGTTTCCAGGATTTCATAATGATAATAGTTGATTCTCATTTTCCTTGTTATTGTTTCAGACTGGAAAAAGTGTACAATACTCCCACTTGTTTTTTCATAAAGAGAATTTAAAACTACGTACTCTAGTGCTTTCTAGAGTAGTTATATGTTCTATTTTGATGGTGTTATATGCAGTTGATACCCCTTTTGATTATCCTGGTTAAAACATCCTCATATAAACAAAAATCCAAAGCAGGTAACATTGGTAAGGGAATACAAATGAATATCGTTCGGCTTTGGTACACAAGTCAAAATCACTCCGGTTGTCAGATGTGAACTCAGGTTGTTTGGTGTGTGCTATTGATTGTGCTCGAAGTTTGCAAAGCTCTCTTTGGTTTCTGTCGAGATTAGGAAAATTGGTTTCATGAAAATACATCACAAGCGTTTTTATAATCAATAAGTAACAATAATATTGTGCTGTGGTACATAAAGGATGGCATCTGTGCTATCAATTTTCTATTTTTGTAACAAAAATACTTGGAAATGTAGATACAGCTATAAATCTTAAAAAGGGATGCTTTTCAATGTTTAACTCGTTTACAACTATTCAAACTTATGATAATGTGTCTTTTGATGGGTATTGAGAAATTAAATCAAAATATATAGGTCATCTCCCATAGGTTTTTGGATGAAGGCCCTTGATAAATTTCCCATCTTAAAATGGTGGAACTAGTAGTTTTTGGTAAGCCAGCTGGCTCTTTTCTTCCTCCTTGGTAATACAAAAGTTTGACACTTTCAAAATGTATGCATTTTCCACTTTTTACCTTATTTCTCTCGTAGTTTTACTTCACTACCCCTCATCATCATCTGAACTTTATCTCAATTGATTAAATGCCAACTTTCCTGATATAACTGCCTTTACTGCTATAAAATGGAAATGGCCCAGTCCCATCATATGATATGTTATATCTCTTTTATGGAGCCATGGTTCCTGAACACAAACAACCTAAGTGCAGCTCTTTCATTCTTCCTAGTGGACCCATGACAATGAGAGCAGTTTGTGGTGTAAATTCCTGGACCTAGGGAGATCCACAAATAGGGATGCAAGTCAGGCCAGGTCCAAGTCTGGACCTACCAAGTAGATCTGGCAGGTCAGTAAGGTCTGCATCAACTTGACCTGCACCTGACCAGATCCAGCATGACCCTATCCAGGTCGGGTCGCCTCGCATGGACCCAATCTGTTTACACTCCCGAAGCGAGAGAGAGAGAGAGAGAGAGAGAGAGAGAGAGAGAGAGAGAGAGAGAGAGAGA